TTAAGATAAGTATAAGTCATTTTTGGAATAGAGATGTTGAAAAGCTAGTAGTATCTCAAAAGGAAATGTTCATTATTTGTTTGAATTTTTTTTTTTTTGAAATATTACTTTTACACTTACTTATTATTTAGTAAATTATTTAATCTTATATTTAATGGAGTCAAACTAACCGTTAATTAACTAGATATTGGGACAACACCTATATATACTTAGTACTTTGCTGAATTAAGGGTTCCGACTCTCCTTTTTATTTTTCTTCCTTGAAAGCTGAATTTCTTTCTTGAATGTTTTGCTAGTTCTGTTCTCAATTTATAATCGGACAAACTTATTGAATCCTGAGAAATACACCTAATTTTATTCTTCACTATGTGGCTGAAATATCCTCAAGGACAACGTCCTTGACACGCCTCAAGCTTTGCTATATATTCCTATTCTCTATAATTAATTTTTCCAAACAGAGATTAATTAGTAAAGATAGTAATCAATATGCTATATAATTTAAACTACACTATAACGTAAAAAGGAATTAAAACTAGTAATACATATATCTTTAAATCCAAGAAATGTTGCTTTATCAAGGAGACACGAAAGGATAGCTTATCCCAAGTGTAATTCCCGCTTCATGGACTCCTCTTGGGTAGAAATATTCCAAATTCTTTCAGCCCATTTTGGCGTAAGTTATGTGAAAGATTGGTTACATCGAAGGAGGAGGTAGAAATGACACTAGGTAGCCATTCTAAAGGATTACTATTAAGGAATTAGTCAGCGCATCCTGAATTTTAATTTTTCAGTTTTAAATTTTTCTGGACAAAAATATCTTGAATTTAAGATTTTTAGTTTAATATTTCGGGATAAAATAAGTACTGACTAATTTCTAAATAGCGTCCACTAAAATGGTTATATGTGCACTTGCCCTGAAGGAGACACAAATGGGCCACGAGATCCATTAATTTGGAACCTAGTCCAGGGCCCACCTAAAGCCCATCTCCCATACACCAGGGTAAAATTCAAAAATAGCCAGATTTACATGTGGTAATTGAAAAATAGCCACAGTTTCAAAAGTAATCGAAATTTAGTCACTTTTCATGTAAAGATAAATCTGGAAAAAAAAATACTGTTCTAAATCCGAAAAATATTCCAACATAATATACTGGAGTCCGAATTTTTTACATGTGAACTTTCAGCATAATATACTGGTCCAGTATAATATGGTGGAGTTCCAGCATAATATGCTGAAAGTTCATACTCAGGTGCACTAATCTCCAGTATATTATGTTGGAACTTTTCATGTTACAGCAAAATAGTGGTTATTTTTGAATGACTTTACAAACGTTGACTATTTTTTAATTACCGGTACGAAAACTTGCTATTTTTACTCGGTCAAAAGAATACATTCGGATTCTATAAACCACTTTGCCGCGTAGTCTGCAACTCTTCCCACCCAAAGGCCAAAAACCTCAGCTTTACCCTTCGT